GCCGGGACGGAGCACGCCGGGTTCTCACCGGACCAGGCTCTCATATCACCAAGCGCGAAGCGCCGTGACGTGTTCGGGGGGGGGGCTCATAGCCACAAGGGTTGTACGTGCACAGGCGATGGCAATCCAAGCGCAGCAGCAGCAGTGGGTAGACGGGATATATCGAGCAAAAACCTTTCTGTCGTTGATCGAGCACGTGGACTTCCAGAGCTTGCAGAGGTGCAGCAAAAGTCAGCTTCGAAGACTGAAAAGTGAATTAAGGGAGACGGAGGGGATCCATAGAGTTGAATGTGTTTTCGTTTCCACGCTTTCACCAGACGCTGAATAGCGAGGAACCGGACTGGTGTGGTAGACGCTAATCATGCGTAGTTTGTGTCGCTCGGTTCTTTTGTGCTCACCGGTCGAGGGTGGCTTTCCTCTCTCTCTATCTGTCTCCCTGTCTCTCTGTCTCCCTGTCTCTCTGTCTGTCTGTCTCTCTCTGTGTCTCTCTTCCTCTCTATCTATCTGCCTATCTATATCTATCCATCTCCATCTCTCCATCTACCTACCTATCTATCTACCTCTTGCTGAAAGCAGCAGAAGCATCCACGACGAACCTTGACCTTCACCCTCGTTGATCGGATGGACCACCCCGTGTCCTATTTGCATATTTCTTCGTGACGTCCTTACGATTATTTCGGCATTTTTCCTGTCGCTGTTGGTGATGGCGTTATCATTAACGCATGCCTAGGTCACGGCCAAGTTCGGGTCCTCGACGATCGGCGGGGGGGGCGGGGGGCAGGGGACGATGGGCGGGGTAGGAGGGAGCGGCGGCGGCGGCGGCGGCGGCAGTGTGCCTGCGATGGGACTGCTGTGGTCACAATGCATCAACACCAGGTACGGTACGGGTTGGGGGTTGCGTTGCTTAGGTTGTTGGATAAGTAGGGGCGGCACGCTCGGCAAGCTTGAGCGCGCCGAGGCTGTCGTAAACAGAAATCGAAATCAGACTGCTCTAATGCTTTGATTTCGATTACTATGAAAGTTTGTCATGCGATTCCACCCATTGGATGTACCTGAACCGCATGAGAAGAACGGCCGAAACGGTAGTGTCTGTTCGATGTTGTTGTTGTTGTTGCTGCTGCTGATGGAGCTGCTGCTGCTGCTGCTGCTGCTGCTGCTGTTTGTTGCATCCACATTGGATAGCGTTCCGATCTTAGTCTCCTCGGAGGGACCGTGTTCACAATCTACGATTAGATCACACATGGGAAACTGATAGCAAACAGAAGAGGGAAACTGATAGCAAACAGAAATTGCCCACAACACTCGAGATTTCTCGCGACGAATAATGCAGCCCTTCGTCCATATCCCCTTATGCGACGTCACGAGTCTTCACGGAAACCTTGCGTTCGCGTCCCTTACAACCTGCTGTACCATGCCCTCTATCTCCTTCGTGCTAAGTCCGAAGAAAAGCATAACGAAGCGAACAACATGCACCCGGAACCAACAGCAACACCTCCCCCTTCTCATGCTTGTCCCAGGTTTAAAGTCCGTCGTCGAGATTACCGGCTGTCGTTGCAACCCCCACCCTCCTCCGAATCTGGCTCCAGACAACGGGCTACTCCGAACCCACGCGACCAGAATTCGTCTTCGTTGTCATTGCCATCGGCGGCAGCGGCAAGAAGACTTGGGGGAGGGGGGGGAGTGAACCCTCCCCTCGTGCACCCGCCCGACCCCAACGTTGGCGGCGGGGGAGGGGGTTCGGGGGATGGGGGTGTATGTTCCCGGTCGGCGGGACCCCCGCCTTGTTCTTCTTCTTCAGCCATTGCGAGAGAGATCACCCTGGACATGTCGCCCTGCGTGCCCGTGCACGCCCGCTGCGGGTTTGTTGTTGAGAGGAGCGGTGTTCGTGGGGTTGGGTAACGCGGGGGTGTCGCATAGTGCCGTATGTCTTTTTCTGTCGACCGCGCTAACCGGCTGATCAATCAAAAGAAGTCGTCAATATTGTAGCGTGGGTGTGTGTCTTCAGAATTAGCATCGACCGTGCTTACGGCTGACCAAACGAAAAGACGGTAAGTCTCAGCGCGGTTGAAAACAGAGTATTCTTCTGAAAGGCCATGAGCTGTGCGAGTGAAGTGGTGTGGCGGGAAGGGTGTTCGGGCTTGGAGGTGGCGAAATGAGATGCTGGTGAAACAGACGAAGAAGTCGGTCGTCTGCTGTCCCACTCTGTTGGAGGCCGGGCTGCTCGTGCGATTGGTCGGAAGAGATTTGTTCGTTGTTGTGTATTTTGTCTGTCGCGAAGTGCATGGTGGCGTCGGCTGCCGTGATGTTGGGGGGAAAGCTAGAGGGTTTATCGGTACAGTTTGTGAAGTTTGGAAGACCACACGCTGCGCGAATTGGTGATGGGTGAAGATATTACTTTTTTCTCTTTGTCGGTCGGTGCCGGCGATGTGTGCAGCAACTCGTATCTCGTCTTTTTGTTGGCCGTGGGTTAGTCAATCCAGAATGAAAGAGTGTTGTCGATGGCTTGTGCGTCGGCTGCGGCTAATAGGCAAGTGTCCGTGTTGGTTGTGAATCCCGTTAATTTCGTGGGCCGGCTTGGCTACAGTAGTGATATGTTGATCCTTTTTTTGCGACCCTGGGAAATGTCACGTTGAAAGAAATGCACATTCGCTTAATCAAGAAGTCGTACGCCCTGGAACCATGCGTGCGCCAGCATCGCCAGGCAGGCGTGCCGTTGACTACACGATGGTCCAAGTTGCGAACTCGCGGCCACCTTCAGATGCATGGAGCTTTTTTACAAACATTTTTTTGGGAATGTAGAACGTATCGTCTTGATCTATCATACCGCGGTGAACCTCTCCACATGATCATGGTCATTTTCATCCCAGACACCACCCCACGCTCAGACATGCCACACAACGCCCCGCGTTGTGTAGATTTCTTGCTGTACATGTTAGACCTCGGGAGAGGAGTGATCAATCCAACATCGAGACGTATCTAGCTCACTCGCGCTTCCCCCCTCGATTGTCCTGCCCTATTCCCGCCGGTTTCGCGCAATATTTGTATCCGAATACTTAGAAGGACGGCAACCGGTCGAGTACTTCAGGCCACATCTGCTCCCGACCCTTCGGGAGAAAACGCGTCGCCAACAGCAGTCAACACGATGAATCGCCGAAAATGGCATGGTCAAGAGAGGTTACACGAAATGCTCCTTCCCGTCCTCGTCCTCCTGGGGTGTGGGAGAGAGGTTCGCCGCCCACGTTGTTCAAAACGAAAAGCACGCAGAAGGTTCCACCTCGATGCGCCTCGAAAAACAAATAGTACACCGCGTCCGCTCCCTATATTCCTCAATTGAGAGCCACGCCGTTTGGGTCCAATAACGAGAAGAAGCAACAAGGTGCACACTTTTTCACCACCTCGGTGAAGCATAGGTCATCGGATCAACGATATTGAAGACAAATAGACGAAACGAACCAACAGCAGACTTGAGAGGGACCGGCCCGTCCCCTTATTTGTTCCGTGTGCTCAAGAGATGCACGGGAAGTCCATCGACACGAAGAAGGTAGCGATCCCATGAGCCCTACCCCCCCCCTCCCCTCTCGCCTGGAAGAGAGTGCTCCGCGCTCTAAGGAACGTCTGAGAGCAGGCAATCCCCCGAGCGGTTACTCCTCTGTCCAGCAGCCCCCCTTTCCCCTCATGGGCTGATGAGGACGGGTGTCTTTTCCAATTTTTCAATGTCTTTCTCCAGACCCTTGAGCTGCTTTTCCATTTGCTCTTTGCGACGTAGTTTCCCGAAAGTGTCCAGGTTCACCATGTGCGCCTGGGTAGGGTTCAAGTAGGAACATATTACGGAGTTTCCGCATAGGTTAGAACATTCCGCAAGCGACTTCGACAAGCAGAAGCTATGTTTGTTGAAGGAGTTCATGACTAGTTTTAAGTCTCTTCGGATGGCGGCGGATCCAGCGTAGTCAAATCAGCTTTGGTAGGCGATATACCTTTCATTCACTGCTGAGTTATCCTCGTCTACATTTAGGGCTACACGTACGCCTCGAGTTTCAAAGCCGTCAAATTCCCCCAGCCGTGTCGTGAGGGGTACTAAAATACTCAAAGTATTACTAGATCAACACCTTGCGGAAGTACGAGGTATAGATAAGCAGAAGGGAGTTGTTCCCGTTGCTTGGCCCACCACCGGGCGTGATTCTGCGTTGCATGAATACTAAAATTTCCACCAAACGTACCATCAGCTGGTACTTCTTGTTGACGGTATCCCACTTGGCCTTGAGGGCGTGCAAGAGCTCCGTGCGCTCTCGCTCTCGCAGCTCCTCCAGGTGGTCATCATCATCTCCGACCTGTTGGGGGCGTATCGTGCACGTATCACACGACGTGAAAACCTGGATCGTACTCCTCATCTACCACTGCACGTGCACACCGAGTAATGACCTGCTGCTTTTGCATGCTGTTGACTTAAAACCATGAGTTGTTGGGAGGTGGTTCCACAGGCCAAAGGGTGATGGCGGTTCGGGGTGCAGGTGCGGGGAAGCGTTTAAACGTCCAGCTGTTGGGGCTAGCTCAACATGAACGCCATTTCGTCTGCAGCATAGCGTTATCCGTCAGCAAAACAAAGAAGAGCACTACTGTATGCATGCTTCGCAAATCCTCTGCTACTGCTGTCCTGAGAAAATGCAGCAACGAGCGTGCCGTCCGTGAGCACCGCGACATCCCGCAGGTGGGTTGTGGTGCTACTGTAGTTGCTGACGAGACACAACGTTGCAAGCCTCTGTTCACGATCATACCTCGAGACCCATCTGTTCCCTGACGAACGTGTCGATCATGGCGTTTTCGCGCGTGATCTCGCTCTTCACCTGGACATAGAATAGACCCGGGCGATCGCAGCGGAAGCAGCAACACCGGAGAAATCTCGTGTGTAGACTATGCGTCTGGATGATTTGGTGTCACACTGGCTGCATTTCTTTGTTTGGCTGTGTTCCAGCACCAGCAATTGGACTCCGCGCTTTTCGGAGACAGTGTGAAGTACCACCACCATGGAAGGCTTCTTGGAACACAATTTATTACAGACTGAATGGATATAGCGACAACCAAGTAACAACTTTGGAAATCCGTCCACGGCTTCGAGTGCAACCCCATATCAGAATATATCCATATGCACAACGTACCTGTTGGAGGTATTTGGGAACCTTCCCGTAGTCCTCCTTCTCCAGGTAGTTGACGGGCTCCAGATCCACACGTCGGGGAACCGCGAGGATCGTGTCGACCGCGTTGGCGGTGACGAAGTTGGCCTTGCTCGCGATGCCGGTCACCGGACAATCATCTCGCCGCGGCACCATCGCTTTCCTGTTCGTTGGTGAGGTCGTGGTTAGGGGAAGGTCGGTCACACAACTGTGGCTGTGTGGTTCGGTTGGCAACCTCGCATAACCTTCCGGCTCTAGGTTGTGGGTTCGGAGTCTCTTGTTGGTCGAATTGTTGCGGATTTCATTTTTTGTAGTGAAAGAAATATCGGTCACACAACTGCTGTGGCTGTGTGGCTCGGTCGGTGACCTCGCAAAATTTCTGGCGCTAGGTTGTGCATTCGAAATCTCTCCGAAGGGAGAAAAACTCGCGAAAACAGGGAAAACGTACAGACGACAGGGTCCACCGCAACAAAAAGGAGGAGGGCCGCAAAACCCTTCTCACAGCAAAAATTACTCGTGAGCACCACGGGGGGGAAAGTGGGGAATTATCCCTGCGTGATACGTCAAAAAAACATACCGAAAGGTATAAGCTTGCGCCAAGATTATGTAGCACGGATAAACATTTACAGTGCGTAGAGGAGGAGTCCGGACGTGCTTGTGTTTGTCTTTGTTCTCAAAATGTCGGTCACTGGGTTGTCGATGTCGTGTCCAGCCTTAAGTTTCCCTCTTGCGCGCGTAACTCTGGCAACTCCTCCGCTAATGTAATTCTACGTGGGGAGAGTGTCTGCGTGTGTTCGCCATTTGTTCTGAAGCCAGCCTACAGCCACCGGTGTATGTTCGACGTATCAGCCGGGATCGTTTTATTGGTTGGTTTTTGTTGCCCGCCTTCCTCCTGCGGCACTTGCCTCAGTTTTTTTTGCGAGTACACACTCCAACAGTAGTAGATTTGAGCACCCGAACAACCAATCAGCCTGCAAGAAGATTCAATGCAGGGCATTCTATGCAGGCGACATCCCTTCACCTCTCGCCAGGATACGTGAAGGCAGGAGCAGGACCTTTCTTTGATTTTGCATCCCCGTCATAGTTTTTATCTCCCGACGTCCCCGTGCCCGTTTGCGTTTTGGTTCCCTTCTTCAGGAACTTGGCTGGATCGTTGCGGAGCGCCTCCACAGGCGGCCCAAAAGTGCCAGATGTCTGTTTCTTCAACACCGCCGCCCCTATCGGCTGTGTCGTACCAAAGGCACCTGACGGAGCGGCCCCAGCACATCGTGAGCGGGAATGTAGGCCAACCAACACATCAAATCGTCCCAGAGTGTTCATTGTTATTGTTGTTCTGGTTGTTGCTGCTGCTGTCGTTGCTTTATGTAATACCTTACTGCTGCCGACGGACACGGGACACGTCTGTGAGAACAATGTCAATGAACTGGGACAGTCCCTTTCCGCGTTCGACCCCGCACCTTTTGCTACTGCGGCTGAGGTGGCCACGTTCAAGGGGTCTGGAAATAGGTCGCTGCCACCGGGATGCGCATGGGTGCACAAGAACGTGATCAAGTTATCGAAGGAGTGGCATCGGAGATTAATTGCATAGTTTAAACATTATCGTCACGAATAAGACATCGTTGCCTGTACTACCGTATCATGTGTACAGCAGTACGAGTTGCATGTGTGCGCAATAACAGCTGAGGTTGAGGTGAGTATTTTCGAGCTTGATATTGCAGTGTAGTTGCTGCTGTCGAGACGTGCAATGTAGGTCCTGAAGTCCACACGCCCGACGTACCGCATCTTAACGGGGACAACCTTGTGTTCTACCGAGATGCAACACCGAGAAAAGGCGGGGTATGCACAACGTTAAGACCCATCTATGAAGAACAATAGACATCTGATGCAGTTTCGAGCAATTTGAGTCCGCCCGGTAGCAGGATGAACAAAAGCAAGCCTTATTAAGCAAATAAGTCACTCAGTACCACCTGCCGCTCTATCTCTTACCAAACGTCGAACCCGCCAGGACACAGACGGGATCATGTCTGGACTTGTACATTGGCGGCTTGACCGGCACATCTGGCACATGAGGCACCAGACTGTAAATAGTTTCAGGCATCCTGTACGCCGGCGAGGGAAAAAGAGAGGGCACCTCTGTGTACGATACGCAGACGTAGCTGCCGGTTTACCACCAGAAAACTGCTTGCAGTATGTCTGGTACAGTCGATTGACGGATCGTGCTCGCGTGTGCTCTCGTCTCGCCTCCCCTCCTCTGCTTCTGCGGTCGTGGGTATGCGCATGATTCGAGCTCGTTTCGTGCGAAGAGAAATATGCGGCGTGATTCCCATTCCACCGCAGCTTTTGCTGTACAGCAGTCGACCGTAGGCTTTTGCTCGATAGGCGATCGCCGAAAACGCCGATTTCTGAAAAAAATCGCCGCAAAAAGGGTAGAAAAAAAATCGCCGAAAACAAAAAAAAAATCGCCGATTCTGAAGGGGGCTCCGCCGTATCGAAAGGTGAAGTCGCCGATGGTCGCCGATTATATTCACGGTGCCCCGTCTCCCGGTGAGACTACATACACACAGCTGACACGTACGCGCTGTACACGGCTACACAGCTGAACGGCAGTGCGATGCCGTCGCCTCTTGGCGGTATGGAAGCCAGGTTGGATAATAGCAGTGAAAGCGAAGGGAATTCGGAGAAGGAGGTGCAATTTGTCGGCCAAAAGACAAGTGCCGCTGCTGCCGGCAGCGGCGGCAGCGGCAGCGGCGACAGCGGCAGCGGCGGCGGCAGCGGTAGTGGGAGCGGCGGTGCCGCATCACCTGCTGCCGGTGCCCGTGCCAGAGTTCCACCACGGATCTCTGCAGCTGGTTCAGCTTCTTCTAACAGTAGTAGTGCCTCTGCACTCCAACGTAGTGCTGGTGGCCCCACTTCCGCCGAAAGTCCAGAATCGATACCGCTTGAGGTACGAAACGGTCTGATGACTTGGTTCCAAGAGGCGGCAGACGCATCGAAGAAAAGAGCGCGCACGAACAGTGAGAAGCGGGCCGCCGACAAACGTGCGAAGCGGGTGGAGGCGATCGCGAACAACCCTGCTGCACCGGAGCGAGAGGAGGGCATCGAGAGGGACCGTGCGGTCGTCAGCCTGGCCCAACGGAGGCGGGCACATGCCAACGTCGCGGAGGGGGCAGGCAGGAATATCGACAGTCGGGGAGCCATGGCCACGAGAACCCCCAAGAAAGATGCCCAGGTACCAGTTCATGACCGGATCAAAGAGTTCCCGAACCAAACCTTCTACATGATCAACACTGGGAAGATGGGCTGCCGTGCGTGCTTCGGCAAGGAAGTCAGCCTGCACAGTTACCGGGTGAAGGACCACATCAAGGGGAAGAAGCACCAGAAAAGGGTGGCGATAATGCTGGCGACAGATGAGGAGGATAAAGTGAGCTTGCTTGTAGTGGTACAGCAGTTCAACACACCAATATTGTAGACCTCAGCCGTTTGCATGATCTATATTCTCTCTACCTTTTTGCAGTTGTTTCCTTTGCTGCTTCGCTGCGTCACCTTGTCCTCGAGATTGTAGACTGCGCAATCCCACACGCCACAACCAACGATTGGACTACGCTTTTACGCTTTCGGTCCTGCTGTGTGTGTTCGTTTCCTCGCTACAGGGGACGCTCCGCGCTTTCGCTAAGCGCTCCGAGGAGGATGGAGGGAGTTACGGAGACACGCTGTCCGACAAGGACAAGCTCACACAGATCAAGGCGGTGAAAGGTTGTTTGGCGGCAGCTATTCCGCTAAACGCGCTGGGCAACCCTGTGTTCGGGGCGTTCCTCGCGC